GAGAGACCAACATTGTGGCAATTGTGGTCTGGCGGTTATTTTGGGAGGTGGAATGCAATTGTCGAACATTCACATGCCCTAACGTGCATACGAGGTTGAGTGTAAATTAGGCAGACGAGTGGTAGCCGAAGCTGTGCACTCCTTGGAGGAGCTACGGATGATCATCGTCAACTATGGATAGGTCGTGAATGCACTATTGGAAAATCGGGAAAGGAAGGTTTTGATTGCATTTTAATCAAATTAGTTACTCCAATATCGTTCTAATGCTTCTTTAAGTGTAATAGCTGGAGCTCTATATCGTCTTGAACTGTCCATATGCATATCATTAGCCTCCAAGCCCTCAATGTTGGATCTAAGCCCAAAACACATGTCGAAAAGTACAATCCAACATAAGTTACTTAGCAAATGACCTGGAGTGCATACAGACCTACGGAATGTAGAACAGTGCATAAGATGGGTAGGACACGGACTGACCTTTAGATTCCATTGTCCACATACGTTGGCAAATGTCGGTCCCTCCGCTTTCTCCATCAAGACAAGGCCATGATATTTCCCAGCATGTAAGATAATGATGAGCACCCGTTGGGGTTGACGGTGATGAAGAGGCTATCAGAAGTAGAGGCTTCGTACAGGTTGATGAGTATGGGAACCATCCAGCCGCAGTCACCGTACCGCCAGGAAATATCTCACAAAATCTCATCCATGTCGTCTTAAGAGCCTAAAATTAGTTTTAAAATTAAAATAAGCAAAAATGAAGGTAATTTCCAACAGTGCTAAAATTTAAAAAAATTAGGGAAAACTTAGAGAAAAAATGCAATCGCAAACAAACAAGCAAGATACGGGAAACACGCACAAAAGATTCAGCAGTCTCGAAAATCACCACTTCTTTCCCATCTGACACAGCAACCTAAAGTGACCGTTTGATCGAAAACAGGAAGATACAAGTCCGGTGAGATTTTCACAACAAATGCAAGTGATTTCACCCGACTCGGTGCCAACCGCATCAGGAATCAGCTGCACTTGGAAAAGATTTCTGTCCAAAACAACTATATTTCTGCCTCTTCCATACACCTAGATGGAAAAGATGCAACATTGTGAATGTTAAAAACCGTCTCGTCTACATCGATATCAATAGGCGGTAATTTTGCAACTGCACCGCTAGGCACAGCACATGGCAAACTTACAATATACAACGATCTTGAGAAGCTAAAAAATGATATACTGTTGTATCCATTGTTTCTAGTCCCAGTAATTATTTGGTGGAGCCGCATTGGCACAGACGTCAAATCATTAAAGTCCAAGAAGTACTGGAGAGTCAAAAGAAATGATCGAGAAAGTGTTGATTAAAACAAACAACGATTAGTAAGCGCCTTTTACTTGTGAGTTACACAACCTATTTGTAATTTATTATAATAAAATTTACTACTTTTAGCAAATATAAGGCGTTGTCTTTAAACTCAGGTTTTAATTATTGCTATTATTATTGTTAAGATATATATTTTAATTTTGTGCGGAATTATTATCCTTGCCATCGCCTAGTTTTAATTCGACAATCTCGATGTTAACTTTGATACACCTTATTCCAGCCATCATCATCAGCTAACATAAGGCTGAAAGAATGTGCACTACCTCAACTGCTTCTACTGGAATCGCAGTTCCGTTTAGCCTTAGTGCAGAATCATGACAACATACTACGCTTGACTATCAATTGTGTTTTCTGCTAGGCATTATAACGTTGGTCTGAATTAGGTCGTTTAAAGTGGAAACGAAACCTGATTCAGAGGGGTGACGTCGGTGCAACTTTGGCTCTTAGTATTTTGCTTAAGGAACGTAAGAGTGTGGCAGATGCTAAGCTCAGGCGTAATTTCACAGGTCCTCCCTTGTGGAGAGGTTAGAGGTACTTCAGCTTTATTCAAGTGCGTTGAAATCGCATAGTTAAGTTTTGTCATATACTGTGGAAACCTCGATTGAGATCTTAGAATAACAGGATTCACATTCTTTGCTAACGCTCTAATGTGCCAAAAAAATACAATTAGGTAGAGGAGTGCATTTAGATGTAAGAGTTTCCTGCCTACTCTCTGGTTCTTGAACCCTAGACTTAAAAAAAGTGAGTTAGTTTCAGATGATTTATTAGGTATTTGTTATAGGAAGAATGGGTAATGGGATGCAGATGAGGCGAGTTGGAGATATCAATTGAAGGGAGACTCCTCGCCGGCTTCACATACGTGATTTGAGTTCCCAGTTGGTTCCGCCTCTCACCTATAAAGGTACACTTAAGCAACCTAGTATATATAGCATAACGCATAAGACGACCAGTTAAATATCAATGTCACTGCCAGTATTTGAATAAGCACGGAACTTACAATCAACATAATCAGACTTCCAACTGACAGTCTTCTCGATACTCTACATACTTTTTAGTTAGGTTTCACAGTTCGCCCAGTGTTCTCCGCGATCATAATGATTTGAATTGACATCCTACCCCTCATCTACCAAGCCTAATTCAAACACCTAAAGCGCATTCACGCTGCATAAAGTTCAAATTCCTGCATATTTAACAGTCACTTATGAACTTCCTAGTTTACATTATAAGGCATAAGCAATGCTTTATATGACTACCTGACGTTTGGCGGTCACTTTAGTATTTGTCTGTCCCTTGTGCACGTGGGCTGGTCCTCGGGCCACGCTCAGGGCCCTCTTGCCCTGTCGTTCTCGGAATACATGTATTCAACCTCACTTATGCCTTCTTCCACCCTATCGGAAGCCTTGAGTCGCTACACTAGTGACGGCGGAAAGCCAACCCAACATTTGCTTTTTAACGACTTTATAGTATAAAGTGCTTTTGGAGACCTTCTGCTGCAGTCGAGGTGAGGTCTCTCTCTGCTACTTGTTCTTCGTTGGTTGTTTGTTAAAAGCGACATAGTGTGCGGGACAATCTATTGCCCAACAGACACTGCTGTATTACTGACATCCTACGTTTGCGTTGCTAAACTTTGCCAATTAATCGACTGATTTCCACAAAATAACAGTACGAACAAGCCGACGAGAAATTGTTCGGTCGGATGATACACTGGTTCCATATATGCAGATACACCAAAATCGGGTTCCCTTGGCTGGAAAGTCAAAACCTCTCTTTTCACGACAAGAAGGTTATAATCCAAGCAGCAGACAAGACTGTAAAGGAATTCTACATCTTGGTGGAGAAATCCAAGATTAATAAGCGCATTTTGGTGTTGTGGATTGGAAGACATGAGTCATACATGCGTAGAGGGAAGTCTGACGCTATCGAAGTGCGATAGATGAAGATAGAGGCGAAAATGGACGTGAATTGAAGAAAACGCATTTACCTTGGTGACGGACGATCTCTAAAGACTTCACAACGAAGAGATTTAGACTGACGTCTGCATTTGTTTTCACTTTATTCCCGTGTTCCACAGACAAGCTATTGCCAACTGAACCGACACCGCCGTGAACCATCTGGAAAAGTTTCGTGTCGGAATTTTCCATACAGAACCCGTGTTTAGGTGTCGGAAATGACACATCGGATCTCCTTACATACAGGACAGTGGCCCGTCCCCTTATCCCTGTAACATATCTGTTGTAGACGAGAGTTCCACCGTGTATTCCTGGAAGCAATTGATGATCGACAGATGTAGAGCTACCCGAATCTGGTTGTCAGACCGAACGAAACTCCAGATCCAGTTGAAGCTGCTGAGGAGACCAGGTACGGTTCCTCGCTCTCGCGTTGTCTGTCGACTGGCGCGGTTGGCTCGTGGATGCTTTCTTGTAGTACCGAATATGTTGTGATGGATGGAGCAGGAGGTGTACCAAAAAGGAGCTTCGAGGACGCCGCTCAAAAGAAGAAAGTGGCAATGTAATGCTTTGTTTATGTGACTATCTGACGTTTGGCGGTCACTTCAGAACTTGTCTAGGCGCAGTACACGTGGGCTGGCCTTCGGGCCACACTCAAGCCCCCATTTCTCCTATTGTTTTCAGAATACATGTATTCAACCTTATTTATGCCTTCTATCACCCCATTTGAAGCCTCGGAACGCTACAATGGCAAACAGGTGTATGCGGTTCGAATCTGTTTGTCAGACCGAAAATAACTGCAGATTCAGTTGAAGCTGCTGAGGGGACCAGGTACGGTTTCTCAGTCTCGTGTTGTCTGTCGACTGTCTCGATTGGCTCGTGGGTGCTATCATGTAGTGCCGAAAATGTTGTGATGGCTGGCGCGGGAGGCACACCAAAGTGGAGCTTCGAGAACGCTGCTCAAAAGAAGTGAGGGGCAGTGTAATAATTTGTTTATGTAACCATATGACGTTAGACGGTCACTTTAGGGTTTGTTTGGCACGTGTACACGTGGGTTGGCCTTCGGACCATGCTCAGCCCCATATGCCTCGTCATCTTCGGAATCCATGTATCCATATCATACCGGCTAGGAAGTCTCGGAACGCTACAAACATTACACTTAATATACTTCAGACATTTTTTTATTATTTTGGCACTAGCTGATGTTATTGCTTCTGCAGAGCTTGCTCTACTTGAGGACACGCTAAAGGCACAAGACCCATCCTTTTGTGTAAGTACGCTCTTTTAAAAAAGAATGGCTTTTGCAATTTCCGGCAAATAAGTTCCTTACATTATCTGCACGGATAGATTTTAGAAGCTATATTGAGCACTTTTTTTCTTTAAATAGAAACGAAAAAATTCTGCTAGCCTATTTTATCCACAATTTGTGTGTTTTCTGGACACCTGACTCAATTTGTACTTTGATAGCAATTAGTTCCTCTTATAGAAACAACATTGGTATTTCTTGTGCAGCTAAGTTTTTAAGTACACTAGCTCGTTTATTTGCGTTTACCTCTGATATCGTGCAAGTTATTGTTATAGTATTCACAACAATGCGTGTGATTTTGAATGCTGTAGGCCTCTCCTCGGCGTTCTTTACACCGGTGTCCTTGTTTTGGCTGTATTAATTAGTCTAAACTGCCAAGACCATGCCTAATCATGATATTCCGGAAAATGTTGTCACAATATACAAATACGAAAAGACAAGTGGTGAGGATTTGCAGTTTGAAAAGGGTGAACGTCTATCGATTTTGCAAAGATTAACAGTAATGCTTTTGCATCATTTTACCATCATTTTAGGATGGTAATTGGGCACTCGCTAGAAACGATAAGGGGCAAACAGGTTTAATTCCTTTGAACTTTGTTGAGTCTGACGTCGACCCGCCGTAAGTTGCACTCTCTTCTGTTCGTTTCTTTCAAAGGGCACTGTTTGCATTTTTTATTTAGATGGCTTCATGGGCAAATATCTAGAGAGGAGGCAGAAGTGTTGCTGCAAAACGAGCCCCCTGGAAGTTTTCTTGTTCGAGCTTCTGGCCGTTTTGTTGGAGACTACACACTTTCTCTCGTTGGTCCTAATTCTTCCGAGTCCAATCATTACGAAGTAAAAGAGTCTTCAATACAGCATTACCATATATACTCTGTTGATGGCTTGGATGGTTCAGCATCCTCAAGATTCTTCTCCTTGGACAACAATGAGATGTTCCCAAGTTTGCGTAAATTAGTCGAGGTGCTTAGGTTTATGTGTTTGGCGCTTCCTAAAAATGATCAATTTGTCTTTGCTAAGGTTATGCACCTATCAGCTTTGCATCCTTTTACTGTTTAGATAGCTTTGCACCTCATTTTTGGCTTTTTCTTCGCTAGTACCGATTTTGTAGCCTTTTTGTTTACCCTTGAATGGACTCAAAATTTGCGTCAAGTTAAGTATGCCCCATCGGTGTGCCTCCTTACAAATTTATTCATTTTTTTTCCTATTAAGGAGTGTTTTGGCCACAACATAGACTATTAGTGTTGATTGTTTAAGTGTGCTTCAACGATTAACTTTAATCAGTAAAATTAACTCCTCGGTGTTTTATGTATAAATTGAGCTGATTATTTTTTGTTTAAGCATTACAAGACTGCGGACCGTGGCTTAGCACACTCGCTCACTGAGCCTGTTGTGGATATGGAACGCGTGTACATGCAGCGCATTCGTGATCACCACTGGATTCCACGGGAACACATTTCTCTTGGACAGAAGCTTGGTCATGGTGAATTTGGAGGTGCGTTTCACCAACTCCAACTAGATGATTTTGATGCATTAACTTAAGGAAAAACAGGCACTTTTGAACTGTATTCAGTGTCACCTTTACACGACTTATAATGTGGTGTAAGAGTCTGTCATTTTGGTTGGAAAGATATTTTAAAAAAATGAAGTGACAGATCGGCTCTGCGTAAGCCCAACATTGTATTGTCGCAAAATTGGCAATCAGTATATAAGCGCAATCGAGCAACTTTGGTCATTTTAGAGGTTCTAAAAGGAAAAATTGGTGACCGTGAAGTCGCGGTTAAACGATACAAGGCATCGGCAAAGCGGCAACTAATCTACGAAGCTTGCATTATGTCGTATGTTTTTTATATTTTATAAAAATCGTTCAAATTTGTTTTTGGACGTCTAACCGCTGGGTTTGTGTAAACGAACAATTTTTTAACCATTGTTGTTTGCTATATACAGAGGAGGAGATTTAACGCCCCCGGTCATGCGGTGCGAATGTGAGAGTTACTTTGTGCTTCCTTTTGAGATTTAACCCTTAGTCGTGAAATGTGAATGCTTATATTTTACGCGCGCGAATTTGCAGAGAAGTGTCCAAACGGGTTTAACAATAAGTAATACCTATTCGAAGGATTGCATAGTTGATACTGAGAGCGACGAACCTGAACAACCGATTGAGAAGCATCCATTGGTTGACCGGCCTCTCACTTTTTTTGGGTACAAGGGAGTTGCGACACGAAAACCTGCTGGAGATGTTAGGAGTGACTGAAGAACCCGAGGAAGACGGGGCTGCGGTTGTGGATGTTGCGCCCTGCACGACCTTCTGTCTCGTCACGGAGTTCTCTCCTCTCGGCTCCCTTTTGTCCTATCTGCGCTCCCGCGGTCGTGCTCTCCTCAAACGTGCTACTCTCCTCTCTTTTGCTATGTGAGTTAACTGCTTGAACTTTATCGTGCTTATTATCATCCGACGGTCCTCCTATTCCTATATTTCTTAGCCTCCTTCCAATTCACTTTTGCCATTGGATCACTATGGCTTATAAACTCTCTAATATCCTTAGTTTTCACTTAGTACGTATGTTTCTAAGAGACTGCAAATTGATTTCACACTTATGCAGCATGATGTGTGTGTGGTGGTCGGATTTTCCTACTTTTTGCACTTGTTGGTGGCATTGACCGAGACGTTTCTGAAGTTTTAACCCATTAGTTTTAGATGCGGTTTCACATCACAGTGATCGGCGTTGAAATAAGGACGGCGGTTCTGTAATTGTTCATTTGTGGTAACTTTATTTCATGTATCTCGAGGTATCCCAAAGCAGAGGAGTGGTTATGTTTACGGAAGCAGTACGAACGTAATTGTGGGCACTTGCCTTCTCCAAAGCCGAAGTTTATATTCTCACTGATCCAACAAAATTACACCGAATTTAATGCAGCACCTCTGAAGGCTTTCATTCGGCCATACTTGCCATAAAAAGGCGACTACTCTGGAAATGGATTGATTAACCCATATTGAATCTGCGTAAGGAGGATTTGCTGGCTGTTAAAAAGGCACTCCGAAGACCGCTGTGTTCTCACACCTTCTTCGTCTTAGCTTTTGACTGCTCGTTTGGGGTTTAAGGAAGGAAAAGAAAATGCCGCATTTCGGATTTATTAAAACAGTTTTGCTGAGTGTTGTTCCTAGTCTATTAGAGTCAGCAACGTTTTTAAAATGCACAGTACGTAGTTGGGGCGTGAATATATTGGCGTTTATTTGTTTATCTTCCACAAAGGCAGTAGAATCGTCTTGATTTGATAGTCATCGAATTGCCTCTTGAGTGCTTGTCCGGAGTGTAATTAAGCAAATCCTTTCTGATTTTTAACATCGATTTGTTGGGTTTCCCTCATGGTCGGCACTTTTTTAAAGTGATTTGGACTCCAGAAACAAGCTTAGTAGCAGTTTTGATTCAGTAGTATTGTCCATAACTGTTCACCATTTACTGGTGAATTTGAGCAACAAGGCTCTTGCTGCACTATTGCTGAAACTGTGTGCATTCTTCCGTGAAGGGATGTGGCACGCGGTCTGGCCTACATGGAAACACATTCGTACCTGCACTGCGACGTGGCGGCTCGTAATGTGCTCCTCTTTTCCTCTGCCAATCACCCCCTCTGTCCGGTGGCCAAATTGGGTGACTTTGGCCTGGCCTTTCGTCTCCCATCCTCTCCCTCCTCTTCCCCCTCCACCTACCCTGTCACTAGGGCAGCTGACTTTGATGATGCCGAGCGCTGCACCCCACCCATCACAGGCATACAGCGGATGGCAATAATCACCCGAATTCCTATCAAATGGACTGCGCCTGAGAGTATTCGAACTAGAGTATGTCCTCTTTACACTTTCCTTTCCAAATCACTCCATTTTCATCCATTGTTCTACCTCTCTGAACTAGACATTTACACACAAGTCGGATGTCTGGAGTTTCGGTGTGATGTTGTGGGAATTGTACTCCTATGGGCGCCTTCCCTATCCCCGTTTAGTAAGTGATTGGCGAACAATCTTTCTAATTTGATTTAGGTGCTGTACCCAAGTTTTGTGAATATTACCTGCGGTACATATTTCCACTAGATGACAAATCAGGTGTTGGCGCACCTCGAGGCAGGTGAGCGAATGGAAGCGCCACAGGACTGTCCAAATAAGATCTATAATCTCATGCTGGAAACGTGGGCCCGTGAGCCTTGTGACCGCCCTTCCTTCGTCCAGATTCTTCATCGGCTTCAGCGCGAGTCTCTGTAATTACAGGGTCACTGTTGCTTCCCTTTTAGCTCACCGTGGCGCCAAAAATGCCTAAGATACTATCTTTGAAGAAGCTGTCTGATTTTGATCTTTGCGAGAAATCAATCCGTGCATCTTACCGGGAATTGTCAAACCCAAGGTACGCTTCAGGTAGCTTAAGCTAGCCAAGCATTTCGCGAGCTAAACATTAAGGTTTTGCCTTGCCTAAACAATGCACTTTGCCCCACTCCCTTCATATCTTGAGGCATTTTGGGAGTCCACTTCCCCAGATGTATGTTTTGACCACACATGGCTCCCCATTTTAGGCCTAACCTCGCCGTTAGAAGCTTGTTTAGCTCATCCTCAAGCGCTTATTTTGCCCCTCCGCATTACTGGATCATCGCTCTGCATTGCTACTCAACAATCCTCCTCACGCAACTATTTTGTACAGTGAATTTGTAGTCACAACACGCCTATTTTGTGCTACCTCGTCCTAGGATTAATGAAATCTGCTTACATTCCCTCATGCCTTGCCTTGTGTAAGACGCTTTAAATGTGCTTGCTCAGCCAGTGGGGACCCGGGTGGCGTTGCGCTCTCACTCGCCTTATACCTGTCCACCTCATGTAGCGTGGCGGCTATCACCTCTGGTAGGCTCTCGCATATAAAAGATGGCAGTGCTTGCTCGACCACGTCAGTAGATGAAACAACTGCCTAGCGTAAGAATTTGGGGCTGTGCAGGGATAACAGAGAGAATGCTTACATAATCTGCAGTGCCGTGGAATCTGGACTGGAAGGCATTTAAGAGCTCCCAAGGTGAATGTGTTGTTGATGAGGGGAAGAAGTTCTATGTCTCCTTGATAGACAATTTATGGAGGTCGGTAAAGTGAGGCAAATTAAGGGAAGCCACGCAGATGTCCGTTAAAAAAAAAATTAGAAATCCAAGACTCTGATGATAGTAAGCCTTTTGTCAAGGCGAGCTGAGGTTAGTGTCGAGTCAATTGGAATGAGGTTTTCATCGTGAAGCCTCCGAGTAGTGCTTGATTGCGGATTGCAGCCGTGACTTATAGTCGGCTCGTAAAGAGATGAAGTTTGCTAGGAGCTCTTTGGGTATTCCCGATTGCTCGTAGTCTTGCCAAACTTGTCGCACATTTTGAGGCTTTATTAACATCAAATTCATTAATTTGAGCAAAATGTCAAAAAGGTAGTCTATTTTTGGGCTCTGACATTCACGAGCAGTATCACGATAGGCCGTAACATCTTGCATGGCAACGAATCCACCTAAAACAGATATGATAAAGGGCTTCAACAGACCACGGATATTACTGAAGATGGCGATTGTGTGACAACAAACCTGAATCAGAGAAAGAGAAGCCATAAAAATGATCCACCAAAAGGCGATGAAATCGCAAGCCCAGTTCTTGCAAAAAATTGCAGAGGTTTTGGCCGTCCAAATTTTGCCGAGCGCCTTCGATAACTTTTCGAACGAATTTGCAAACGTCTTGGCAAGCCTGCAAAGGGATGCAGCTTCACAATTTAACCAATGAATAGTCTTTCACATTCATGCCTTAGCTTCTGTTATGCGTAAAGAAAGGTGAGTCACTCGACTGGGCTTAGGATCCTTTCAACAACCTCTGTCTTTATAAACGCTAACATTGAGCTTCTAGAGTGTCTCTGTAAAGCATTACCCTTTCATTTGTCAAACAAACAATAACAGCAATGACACACAGAGGAGCAAGCAGGAAGTTCGACTGTCACAGCAGAGCTTGGCACTGAAACGTCACCCTTGAAATCGGCCTTCTTCTGCTCGTTCAACAGGATAACCTGGATGCGAGTTAGGGCAAGACTGAGGCACTGCTCTAGGCCCGTCGAGAGCTTCTCCTCAAGACGATGTCGCAATTCCTGCCGCCTTGCCAGACACTTTTGCATTTGAGGTGGGCCGCCACTACAAACACATGGCAAACTTCATGTCTCCAATAGTTGACTAACTAAAGGTCTCAATGAAGGCTCAGCACCTGCAAATCGTAGAATCAAGGTTGTTAGTTTTATCATTTAGTCATAGTTTTCTACCGCACTCACGCGAGCAGAGGTCCAATGAATTCGTTAACTGCTTTCTCAAAGAGGTCGAACAGCGTGGTGCCTTCATTTACAGCCGCAAAAAAGGTGAATGACGGGTCCACGGCCTTGGGATCCATGCTGTTCAAAACTAAAATTACAATTGCGGATGTTCACCCAATTTACCTTTAGACATCACCACCACCACTTAGTTTTAGGTTCCCGTAATCGCACGATCTGCGATGGGTTTTACAGGTCATTTATCAATAAATAGATTTGGCAGAGTGGAGACAAAAATGTTGCAGCGTACCTTGCAAAGCAACAGAGATTCCATAGTCTATGTGTTCATTCACCAAATAGCGGACTAGTACGTCAAAGATTTTCAGCCCGAATTGCGGCCTCACTGCAGGCTTGGCAAGCTAAAACAATGGTATTTGTTTTATTTTCAGGTAGTCCGCAAAAAAAAGTTTTGCACAAACTACAATTCGCACCAAAAGACAACGTTTTGCTGACTGTTTGACGTCGTCAAGCATGTTTACTGCGACCTGCTGAGAGAGGAGAAGACAATCCAAAGAGACTTCCCGATCATTATTGATATGAAGTCGCGCCTGTACCGCATTTTTCAGTTCCGAGAACCTAAGCATCATGACAGTGGGGACGATCGCACATAGGAAAGGAGAAAATAATTGTAATGAAGGCTGAGGCTATCCATAGTCCGGACTCTGACTCCCCTCACGGTGGCCGGATTAAACGCCAAAAATCACACAAATAACGGGGTCTAAAAACACTAGAGCAAGGGCCTGAGTTGTAAGAACACGCATAAATTCAAAGGATCGCTTCAAATAACTGATCTGGTTAGTTAAAACTTGTAACGGTCCCTTACGTGTAGCGTGGCATAGTTGTAAGTGAAATTCCTAGCAAACATGCAACGCATGAACGGAGTAGGGTAGTACTGGAACCATTAAGCCCAATTTGTTGGTCTGAAATACAGCAAATGCTCCACAAGCTAAAGTAATTAGGTCACGGAGATTTAGCAATGTGTGAATAAACGAAATCATTCGAGAGTAGTCTTCGTAGCTTATAGATGATAGCACGATACCATATGAGACAAATTAATTTTGCAAAACAAAAACGAAAAAACTGAAGCAATCGTCCCAAAGTTGTAGAGCAAAACTAAGCATAATGTGAGTGAGTGAAAGGGAAAACACAGGGGGATTCGCACAAGTTAAGTGAGCACACATCGAAACCCAGCCAAAAAATACTTTTGCAATCTACCACCACACATAGAAACGTCTTACACGTTGCTCCAAACTGATGTTGGTTGGTCACCGTCAACGCTGCTAGCAAGACATAACCAACTTAAACGCGTAGCCCAAAATATTAAAGGCAACTAGCACGAAGTAGAACAACTCCCGATTTTAATGGGAAAAAGTGGGCATCACCTACCCAGATGAAGTTGGACGTTTTTGATGATTGTACGAAGCATAATAAGTGGATAATTGACCCCGAAGATGTTCATCAAGCCAGCGCATTTCTCGGAGTTCGTAGCCCTGGAGTACTTCGTCAGCTAAGCCGCTGAGAAGTTTGTACAACTGGGTCTCATCCGAGAGGAATTGAAGACGTTCAATTAATTGAAACACAAGACGATCAAAACTGAAGCAAAGTAGAAGACAGGCCATACAAAACCCAAAGAACTCGATACATACTTGCAGTATTCGGTGTAGAGATTGGTTAGAAAAACATCAATAGACATGTCCAATCGTACCTTGGATTGAAAATGTGTCTGTATAACAGAAAAAGAACATTACAGTGAACCAAGTTGTCAAATCGCTGTATAGACAGTAGAACGACGCTAACCAACAATCAAAAGGATACCTTTTCGAAACGAACCTTTAGATTTCGAGAAAATAATGCTTGTATTAAGTGAATTACAACGGTTTCCGGTCGGCGAAAAATGCGAACGATTTTGGCCTCCGTTTGTGCAAGGATATTTGGTAGCATAGACAAATCACCTAGATCTGTAGGAAGACACTAAAGCGAAAGGATGTAATAAATAAAAAACCCATTACTTTGAGAAATTCATCAATAAAGACATCAGCACAGCCTGACTGACTCCTTGAGCAGGTCAACACTTCCGCAATGCGTCGCATCATTTCATCATTCTCAGTAGAAAAGTCATGACGAAACCACTTCACCAGTAGATTTTCTAGATTTTGGCTAGCAACAGTGACTCGCTGCTTGGCAATCAGGAATCGTTCGTCATCTGGAAGCTCCAAGCATAGCGCACTTAGTGCTCGAATGCTAGCGGTCTTCTCGATCAGCTAAAGAGGTTGAGTAAGTGAAACGCATAGAGAAATGCATGCTTGCGCTTCACCGGCTTGCGAGTTAACGGAAATGTTGGCGAATGTACCACCTCCAGCCCCAAGAAACTTGGAGAATTCTAAGATAAGCCTGCGAGCTTCCTTGAGACTCTCTCGGGGAGCATTTCTTCTTTCAAGCTGGTCTCCAAGATGTATTATTTTACCGGAGACGACATTTATCTTCGTATCAAGTTCTTTAAATGTCTTGCTTGCTTCGGACAACTGATCGCTGAGTTCCAAGACCTCGGAAACAAACTTCTTATTTTCTTGACGGCATTGAGTCTAAACATACAACAGAAGGTAGTAAAAAGACGCAGCCGAAGCCCCCAAAATTGACTCCAGACTTTAATCAAGAACAAGTGTTCCAAACGATTCCGCAAAAAAATAGATGCACAGTGATACCCATGAGTAAAATATGCCTTTATAAGTGCAATAAACTAACAATCACAAACCTAATATAATAAGATATCCTGTAATCTACTCTTACCTCTAATCGAGCTGACTCAGATACGAGCCGAGTTCGAGCATTTTGCAGATCGCTTAAACACTTCATAAAGTAGATTCGCAGTTTCGCAGGATCAACGCCAAGAGATGACGGATCCCCACTAACCTTACCAGCCAAACGGTCAAGTAATTCTACACCATAATCTCGCTAAAAAGATTGCGATCATATAAATGCTCTTTACACTGTCAGAACCAGTTACACAACTTGACGCCTCCATTAAACTAGTCGGAGGAACCAAAGCCACCCACAAGGCCCGAAACCAGGATGTGCTATTTGTAGGCTCAATACCATGAAAAGGCGACGGTTGCAATATCAGCAGTAATATTGGAAGGTATTTTACAAGACAAGTATTTGAATTGAGCTGCAGTAATAGACTAATAATCTTACTAAATCTTGACAAGCATCCTTCTTAAACTTTCAGAGTTTGTGAAACACTCAAGTGCCGCAATCATTTTATTCCTTTTGAAGTCGACAATATAGCCATTTATCAGAACCATATACCTTTTTAGGCGCATATTATTCTCTTGTGTGCTGAATGTGGCATTTCGATCGAAGCGATGGATATTGCCTATTTCATTCAGTTGCCGTTTAAAATAAAATCCGCGGTTCGCCGCCGTAACCTTAATGTCCTAAGACCCCTATTTCTAATAGAATGTGTTGGACATCACTAAATACTTGTATATAGGGAGAAAGTGCGGAACTGAAACTATGACCGTCTTGAAATCCAGTCAACGTGGAAGAAGGAGGATTGTTGTCAAGTTGCCTCCATTCACACAGGTAGTGAAATAATCAAGGCTGTACAATTACATTGCTTCGTTACTTGATTCCCTATATGGGTATTGACTGCTTTGGCAGTCTTGTTGTTTCTGAAGTTTGGGTTTAGCCTTGAACCACGTCAAAGCACCACCCTTTTTAGTTGTCTAATTTCAAATGGTTAGTCACGTCTTTTG